CCCCCCCCCCAAGACAAGACAAACATTTAATCATAACATAAAACATATGACATACAGCAACATTAGGTGAAGAGGGCCCTGCCTAAATGAACTTAACATCTAAAGGGAAAAGTAAATCCAGCAATTTTATAGTTTTATTTCGTTACAAAACATACATAAGACATATAAAATATGTAAAAAAAAAAAAAAAATATATCACATACTGAGAGTTTCGTAGAGCTTGGTGGTGGCACAGTAGGGGATGATGAAAAATCGAAATCCTTTGAGAATTCATCTGCAAGTTCAGCATCAGTCAAGGACTGTAAGATACAATATGGCAATTTTATATGTAAAAAATTTTTTATCAGGGACCATTTTACAGAGATTTCATTTATTTCTGCTACATCCTGGTGAACATGTAGGACAAATAGCGTACAATAACACAATCACATAATAGAGATGTATTGATGAGTAGTGCCACATGATGGGCACTTATCAGCACCCTGTACCTTGGTGACAGTTTTGGTATTTGGACAGAACTATATAAGAATGCCATGTTTAGATTAAGGAGATACTCCCTTAGAACAATGAAAGTAGTGTTGTTGGAGACATGGTTAATGTTGGTCTGGGCAATTATCCATCCTTTTATAGCAGTACACATAGAAAGGATTTAAGAGATTTGTTATTTTTATTTTTAATACAAAATGTGTTTCCAGTAGTGGCTGGGTTAGGTAGGTACAGGTAGGTACAGCTGATATTGCAGAAGATATACAGAGACACGGGATATAGTGTTTGCTTTGTGAATGTTTTGCAGAGCTGAGATCCTACTGCAACCTTGCATATGTATTGCAGACGTAACAGTACTATTACAGTAAATTAGGGAGTTGAATACACATATCAGATTTACGCACAGTTGAGTTAAAGGGAACCTATAGTCCTGAGAAGAGAGAAGCATTGGGGACGAGTAGCGAATGGCCCACAAGTTCCAAGTTCAGTCAAATACATCACATGGGGAATCATGGGTTCAATGCTTTCATAAAATCAGCTTTTAATGCTGAATGCCACATAGCCAAGTCAAACTGTCAATGCAGCAGAAGTGCCCTCTAGTGGCTGTCAGGAAGAGGTCAATTTAGCCCTGCAATGAAAACATTGCCATCTCTCAAAAAAACAGGGCCACTGCACCGAAACCACTGGGTGCATATAGTGGTCATTTACTGAACCTTGGCCCCCCAGCTACTGCTGGACTGCAACTCCCATAGCTCTGTGCCTGTCTGAGGTTGGAGTGCAAATACTGTGGAGTATGAAAATTATAGCGGGATTTTAAGTGCAGGGCTGATTTCTGTGTGCTTATATTTGCTTTGTATTACGCTATCATCCTACAGTGTTGCCTCCACACTGTGTATTCTATTAAAGGAACACTATAGTGTTAGGAATATAAAACTGGATTCCTGTAACACTACAGTGTCCCTCTGCCTACAAGGTCCTTCCCCGACAATGAGAGTGTTAAATAGCTTTAGAACACCTAATTCCTTCAACGTCAGTGCGATCCAGCAGCCTAATGCACATGGGTGGCAAGGGCTGCACATGCATTAGCCCTTAAGCATAGGAAATAATTGGCTCAATAATTTTATATGGGGTTTTGCAAGACGCTGGACATCTTCATGCAAAGCCTGAGGACATCCAGAGTCATTTCACCTTGTTACACTCAATGAAACAGCAGGAAGCACCTTGTGTCTTAGACAGCCACTAGAGGCAGTCTTAAGGTTTCTCTAAAGCTGTACAGTTAAGAGGGGCAGTGCACCCATACTACTCCAATTAGACGAAGTTGTCCGAGTGCCTATAGTGTCCCTTTAAAAGTTAATGATGGTTTAGGGGTTTATAAAAACAGAGATTTAGCAAGGTAAATTGCTAACGTAGGACTCACCTAAGAGACTTGCCTTGATGGGGGAGGTGCGCCTTAATACCAGATATTGGGCGTAAAGGCTATTGCAGTGGTACTTAAACCTCTGTTATTTAAATATGCTCAGGGATTTTGGACAGTGTGCAGGTAAGACTGCATTGTCACCTGACAGAACAGTTCGCTAGACAAGAGATGTTTGCTGGTTCAAAGAATTTGGTTCTGGAGAATATGTACAAATGAACTTGATAAGTGGCTAGAAATCACAAAGAAAATTCAAGAACATATATTAATAAAAAACAGCCGAATCGGAAATTATTTGAAAATAGTGATGTGATAAGTATCAAGGCAGCATCAATATCACAAACAGCAATAGATCATCTGGGGCTTTACTGCACCTTGGGCTCGTCAGATGGTACTGCAGGTGGAACTTCTTTACCATGGTCTTTTCCCTAAAAGATTAATTGCATGTTTCAGCAAAACATTTTATACATTGAATGCTCTATAGAGGAGATTTTATTTAATTGTGCTACACATCATGTTTATGGATTGGATGACTTCTGGTTCAAATATTTGTATGGTTTTAAGATCATACCATTCCCATGCTGCAAGTGGAAAATTAAAAGCCCCAGTAAGGAGACTCCAGCCTAGGTTTATGTCCCACATGGTTAATTATCTGGGCCATGCTCTCTTTTCAGCAGGTATGGGTCAGTGAAGCGACTACTAAGCACATCCTTGAAAGAATACTAAAGTTACAGGAAATGGGAGACCATTTCGCATGGATAAACCCGTCCTGGACAGATGTCCAAGCCATTGAGCATGAGGGGAGGTGGGGTGAGAAGCTGCTATTATCACTTTTTTACTCTCTGAAATATAAAATGATTAAATGTCAATCTTGAAGAAAGGGACAGGATTCCACTCTCTTTTCACTGGAAAATGTTTCATATTAAAAATCGGCACAGGGAAGATCTGGAGCCACGGATCCCAAATGCCAAAAACAGCCAACAGCCATAAACGAGTAAAACTAACAGGAACAATAATTCCATAGGACTGCGAGAGTGTTTTATAAGTAAATTCGAAAGCCAGTAGCAAGGTAAAATAAATTAGAATCTAAACAAAATAGCGAGAGTGCTTATAACCCTGACTGAAGCTGTGACTAGAACATGCTCCTACATTAGGACGCATGATTGCAGGGCAAAGGGGTGACCTAAAAAAGTGGGCAATGCCATGATGTGGGATGAGGACATGTCCACCCATATAGAGGGGTGTCAGCCTCTCCGCTGCAGCACTTTGAGGATGAGCTCAATGCCCTGCCTTGCTGCTCTTGGTGAGAACAATTTCCCGATATCCCCAGATGTTGGACGGATAGGAGCCCTAAAACAGGACTGTCCTGCAAGGTCCGGGACTTAAGTGAAAATGGAAGCAAGGGTTAAATATTGAAAGGTGTACTAATGATCTATATATTTTTGCAAAACATAGAATTACGTAAAGAAATAGGTTTTGATTTTAAAGAAAGATAATCACCCTCAACATTTCTTCTGTGACTGAAGCATTTTAAGACTGTAATGTATCTACAAATAAAACAGCATTTGTGATCATCGTCCCCCCCAAACTATTGTGTGTCAGTTTCCATTATTCCTGCAAATACACCCAACACTATTACAATATTACAAAATAAACACACGGAAGTGTACACTTACATCCAACAGGTGCCTGTATTTTGGAGGGATAGTGCTCTCCTTTTTCCCAAGTTCTTCTAAGTATGACGACGTAATAGCAGTTTCCTGTGAAATATAATAAAATGTAAATTGGTTTAATCATCCCTGGTGGTGCTTGTATTTATAATTGCACATGTTACATACTATGTCATAATGTGAAACATTTCATGACTAGAGAAAGGACATCGCTCAAAGACTTTGTATCTTAGCTTGGCCAACTAACATACTTTGTTATAAAATGCAGTTTGTAGAACTATTCAATATGTATACATTCTAATTACAGTATTATTACAGGACGTTTACATAGCCAAGAACAGTTTAGGTAAAAAAAAACAAAACAATGGTACCGTTATTATCGGGCCAGTAAATTGTGGGGATTCTGGCACATTGACAGGCGGCCCTTCCAGGGTACCCAGTAATTCGTCTAATGCATCTTGAGGCACTGTCTGAAAGAAAAAAAACCATTAAGTAACGCTTCATTATTACTGTAACAATGTCTGCTAATCTACCAACCAGACCACACACACAGGAAATGGAAACTAAAAAGCAGGGGCGGACTGACCACTCGGGCACTTCGGTCATGGACCGAGGGCCCGAGGCAGTCAGGGGCCCGGCAGCACAGCCATGCTCCAGCTGGAGAGATCAGAGATCTCTCCAACTGGAACGGCAAAAAATAATAAAATAAAACTTTTTAATTGATAGGTTGTGGGGCCCCTAATGCAGCGCGGGGCCCCACAACCTACCGCTCTGCACATCCCCCCCCCCCATGAGACCTGGCAGCTTCATCTCCTCCCTGCCAGGTCTCCTGCTTCCTCTCCCATGCGGCTCTGTGTGATGGGAGAGGCGGGGCCAGGAAGTGACATCACTTCCTGTTTACTCCTCTCACACAGAGCCCAGCATGGAGAAGGAGCAGGGGAGAGAAGAGGGAGCAGAGATGCAGGTAGGCACCAATCACCCCCCTCACTGTCACCTGTCACTGTCACCAGTCACCCCCCCTCACTGTCACTAGTCACCCCCCTCACTGTCACTAGTCACCCCCCCACTGTCACTAGTCACCCATCCTCACTGTCACCCCCCCTCACTCTGTCACTGGTCACCCATTCCCTCCCTCACTCTGTCACTAATCATCCCCTCACTCTGTCACTAGTCACCCTCTCCCTCACTCTGTCACTACTCACACCCTCCCTCACTCTGTCACTACTCACACCCTCCCTCACTCTGTCACTAGAGTGAGGGGATGACTGGTGACAGAGTGAGGGGATGACTGGTGACAGAGTGAGTTAGGGGGGTGACTAGTGACAGAAGGAGGGATGGAGTAGTGACAGAGGGAGGTGGTGACTAATGACAGTCACCACCTCCCTCACTCTGTCACTAGTCACCCCCTCACTCTAGTGACAGTGAGGGAGGGTGTGACTAGTGACAGAGTGAGGGAGGGAAGTGGTGACTAGTTGACAGAGTTAGGGAGGGAAGGGGTGACTAGTGACAGAGTGAGGAAGGGGGTGACTAGTGACAGAGGGAGGGGTGACTAGGGACAGAGTGAGGGAGGTGGTGACTAGTGACTAGTGACAGTCACCACCTCCCTCACTCTGTCACTAGTCACCACCTCCCTCACTGTGTCACCCCCTCCCTCTGTCACTGGTCACCCACTCCCTCCCTCACTCTGTCACTAGTAACCCCTTCCTTCCCTCTGTCACTAGTAACCCCTTCCTTCCCTCTGTCACTAGTCACCCCTTCCCTCACTCTGTCACCTGTCACCCCCTCACTCTGTCACCCCCTCACTCTGCCACCCCCTCACTCTGTCACCCCCCTCACTCTGTCACTAGTCACCCCCCTCACTCTGTCAATAGTCACCCCCTCACTCTAGTGACAGAGAGAGGGAGGGGGTGACTAGTGACAGAGAGAGGGAGGGTGTCACTAGTGACAGAGTGAGGGAGGGTGTCACTAGTGACAGAGTGAGGGAGGGTGTCACTAGTGACAGAGAGAGGGAGGGGGTGACTAGTGACAGTCACCACCTCCTTCACTCTGTCACTAGTCACCCCCTCCCTCACTCTGTCACTGTGTCACCCCCTTCCTCACTCTGTCACTAGTCACCCTCTCTCTCACTCTGTCACTAGTCACCCCCTCCCTCACTCTGTCACTAGAGTGAGGGGGTGACTATTGACAGAATGAGGGGGTGACAGAGTGAGGGAAGGGGATGACTGGTGACAGAGTGAGGGAGGGGATGACTGGTGACAGAGTGAGGGAGGGGGTGACTAGTGACAGAAGAAGGGAGGGAGTAGTGACAGAGGGAGGTGGTGACTAGTAACAGTCACCACCTCCCTCACTCTGTCACTAGTCACCCCTTCCTTCCCTCACTCTGCCACTAGTCACCCCTTCTCTCACTCTGTCACTAGTAACCCCCTCACACTAGTGACAGAGTGAGGGAGTGACAGAGAGAGGGAAGGGGGTGACTAGTGACAGAGTGAGGGAGGGGGTGACTGTCACTAGTCACCCCATCCCTCTCTCTGTCACTAATCACTCCCTCCTAACTCTGTCACTGTGTCACCCCCTCCCTCACTCTGTCACTAATCACCCCTCTGTCCTTAGTGAAAGAGTGAGAGAGGGGGTGACTAGTGACAGAGTGAGGAAGGGGGTGACTAGTGACATAGTGAGGGAGGGGGTGACTAGTGACAGAGTGAGAGAGGAGGTGACTAGTGACAGAGAGAGGGAGGGGGTGACTAGTGACAGAGTGAGGGAGGGGAGGGGGTGACTAGTGACAGTCACCACCTCCTTCACTCTGTCACTAGTCACCCCCTCCCTCACTCTGTCACTAGAGTGAGGGGGTGACTAGTGACAGAGTGAGGGGGTGACAGAGTGAGGGAAGGGGATGACTGGTGACAGAGTGAGGGAGGGGATGACATGTGACAGAGTGAGGGAGGGCGTGACTAGTGACAGAAGGAGGGAGGGAGCAGTGACAGTGAGGGAGGTGGTGACTAGTGACAGTCACCACCTCCCTCACTCTGTCACTAGTCACCCCTTCCTTCCCTCACTGTGCCACTAGTCACCCCTTCCTTCCCTCACTGTGCCACTAGTCACCCCTTCCCTCACTCTGCCACTAGTCACCCCTTCCCTCACTCTGTCACTAGTCACCCCCTCACTCTAGTGACAGAGTGAGGGAGTGACAGGTGACAGAGTGAGTGACTAGTGACAGAGTGAGGGAAGGGGTGACTGCCACTAGTCACCCCATCCCTCTGTCACTAGTCACTCCCTCCTAACTCTGTCACTGTGTCACCTGCTCCCTCACTCTGTCACTAGTCACCCCCTCCCTCACTCTGTCACTAATCACCCCCTCTGTCCTTAGTGACAGTGAGAGAGGGGGTGACTAGTGACAGAGAGAGGGAAGGGGTGACTGTCACTAGTCACCCCATCCCTCTGTCACTAGTCACTCCCTCCTAACTCTGTCACTGTGTCACCTGCTCCCTCACTCTGTCACTAGTCACCCCCTCCCTCACTCTATCACTAATCACCCTCTCTGTCCTTAGTGAGAGAGGGGGTGACTAGTGACAGAGTGAGGAAGGGGGTGACATAGTGAGGGAGGGGGTGACTAGTGACATAGTGAGAGATGGGGTGACTAGTGACAGAGTGAGGGACGGGGTGACACAGTGACAGAGTGAGGGAGGGAGTGACTAGTGACAGAGTGAGGGAGGGAGTGACTAGTGACAGAGAGAGGGATGGGGTGACTAGTGACAGAGAGAGGGATGGGGTGACTAGTGACAGAGAGAAGGATGGGGTGACTAGTGACAGAGTGAGGAAGGGGGTGACTAGGGAGAGAGGGGGTGATTAGTGACAGAGTGAGGGAGGGGGTGACTAGTGACAGAGGGAGGGGGTAACACAGTGACAGAGTAAGGGGGTGACTAGTGACAGAGTGAGGGAGTGGGTGACACAGTGACAGAGTTAGGGAGGGAGTAACTAGTGACAGAGAGAGGGATGGGGTGACTAGTGACAGTCACCCCCCCCTCACTCTGTCACCAGTCATCCCCTCACTCTGTCACTAGTCACCCCTTCCCCCCCTCACTCTGCCACTAGTCACCCATTCCCTCACTCTGTCACTAGTCTCCCATTCCCTCCCTCTGTCACTAGTCTCCCCCTCTCCTTCCCTCTGTCACTAGTCTCCCCCTCTCCTTCCCTCTGTCACTAGTCACCCACTCCCTCACTCTGTCACCAGTCACCCCCACTCACTGTGTCTCCCCCTCACTCTGCCACCACTCAACCCCTCCCTCCCTCACTCTGCCACCAGGTACCCCCTCACTCTGCCACCTGTCACAACCTCCCACACTCTTCCACCTGTCACCTTCTCCCTCACACACTCTGTCACCTGTCACATATGCATTCACACAGACACTATATACAAAAAAGCACATGTAGTCATCCAGACATGCACAAGTGCATTCACACAGACTCAAATACAAACATGCATTGATACACAGGTCTTCACAATACACACATCCAAAGGAATGCCGTATTATGAATTATATTTAACATTTATTAAAATGCACATATATTTGGCCTTCAAAGGGCCTGGGATCTAATTTTGCCCGGGGGCCCCAAAGGCTCTCAGTCCGCCCCTGGCTCATACTGGATCAGAGGTTATAGGAGGTGGGAACAGCTGGGGAGAGCATTCTGCTCAGGTAGGGCGGGAGCTTCACCGAAAAGCTTTTAAACACAAGGCTGGAAAGATGAAGGGTGCGTCTGGATTCCAGTGACAACCAGCTTAGTTCTTTTAGCATGTCACAATGGTGGGTCCTCTAATTACATTGTAGCACAAATCGGCAGAACGAGTTATACAATGTATTGAGTTTATTAAGGTGGGCTTGCGGTGCAGGTGCATATACTACTGTAGGGCTTATGCAAGATTTGTTTATATCATACTAAGTGTACTTTTATATTAATTTATACATATATTAATAAAAAAATACACTTATAATTAAATTACACATACACACACACATATATATATCAAAATACACTTAGAATTAAATTATACACATATATATATATATATATATATAAATAAAAATAATACAATATATATACATATATATATATATATATATATATATACATAATTACATAAATAAATATCATAAATATACACGTAGACTTCAAATATATAAATATGTATATACGTTTCAATTCTACGTGCATATTTAGGTAATATTTTTACATAATTAAGCCATTTTATGGATTGCAATTTGAGGGACCTGCCTGACAACCCGGGCCAAAAGTCCAGAGCATTTAATTTGCTAGCACTGTATTTAACCCTGTAACTTCCCATGACACTTTAAAACCTGTACACGAGGGGTACTGTTTTACTTGGTAGACTTCGCTAAACACAAATATTAGTGTTTCAAAACAGTAAAACATATCAAATGGCACTTTCACTGATGATATCAATGTTGTAATATGTTTTACTGTTTTGAAACACTAATATTTGTCTTCAGCAAAGTCTCCCCAACTCTCTCCTATGTACAGGTTTTATAGTGTTTTTGAAAGTTACAGGGTCAAATATAAGACTTGATTTTCATTTTTTTTTTCACATTGAAATTTGCCAGATTGGTTATGTTGCCTTTGAGAGCGTATGGTAGCCCAGGAATGAGAATTACCCCCATGATGGTATACCATTTGCAAAGGAAGACAACCCAAGGTATTGCAAATGGGGTATGTTCAGTCTTTTTTAGTAGCCACTTAGTCACAAACACTGGCCAAAGTTATTTTTCATAATTGTTTTTTTGCATTTTTAACACACAAACAAATATAAATGCTAACTTTGGCTAGTGTTTGTGACTAAGTGGCTACTAAAAAAAGACTGTACATACCCCATATTGAATACCCTGGGTTGTCTACTTTAAAAAAATATGTACATGTGAGGTGTGATTCAGAGATTTATGACAGATAAAAGTGTTACAATGTCACTATTAATACATTTTAAAAATATATATTTTGAAACAGCAATGTCCTACTTGTACTTATAGCCCTATAACTTGCACACAAAAAAAAACTAAGAACATGTTAACATTGGGTATTTCTAAACTATTTCTAAGGACAACATTTAGAAACTATTTAGCATGGGTGTTTTTTTTTTTTTTTTGGCGGTTACCTGCGCTCTCTCCTTAATCCCTATGTATTTTTAAACAAATGGAGGTCATTTAGTTACTCCAATGGCCACTGGAGGGAATTCCCGCCTGCCAACGTCAAGGCAGACCCCCCTAGACGGGTTTAACACTGACCCTTCACATTGCCTCATTGAGCCTCTGGCAAAGACATCTCTAATGAGACAGAAAGGGGTACCGGTATTTTTTATATACACCTAACTTAATGAAGGTTCACACTTCATTCTGCCTTTGCCATTCTGGATTCATGACGTTCATTGTAGGCAAATCTATGACTCTCCTATTCTTCTCCCAGCTGTAAATACTTTCATATAACTGTTCAATCTCCTTCTCTGTTCTTCAGGCCTCACTTCACACTCAAACTCAGTGAAGCACTGCATTTTTTCTCCCCCAATTCAGCAATTTTGGCCTTCAATTTTATATTTACTTTGAATTGTCACTTTAGTTAATAACCCTGTTAGACTTAGTTTAGTATCTGTACTTGTCTCTAGTTGTA